TGCTACTACTACTAAGTTAGTACTACTCTATTCTACTTACCTGTTCCAAAATTTGGCTTCCAGGACCTCATAATTTTATTTGTCAGTATCACATACCACAAATATTAACTCTATCCATTACCTCGACAGCCAGCGTTTCCATGAGGCAAGCAAGTCACTATGTTATCTTCGTGTCCTTCAGATGGCCCACATCATCATTCCTTAGAATATCCTCTTCCTTCCTAAAGAACAGGTCTTTTAAGGGCATCCTATTATAGCATAAGTCCTTCCTTCTCTCAAATCTCTTTTCTACAAGATAGCAGACAGGGGTGTCTGCAGGAAAGCAGGACAACTTATAGCAAGCCCTACCCCTTAGTGACATCATAAGTCCCTCCTTTAAGCTACCTGCATTATGATGCCACTGCAGGGCAGAGCCTGTGTGTTGATGTCACTGCACATGCTCAGACACTGCAAAAGCACATCCTTGCTTGCTAGCAAAAAACAGGCCAGCCAGCCCAGCTGGCTTCTGTTCTGCCAGTAATTGTCAGTTGTCAGCCAAGAGCAAACTAGCTGCAGCCTGTTTCTGCTGGACTGTTGACTGTTTTGATTTTGCAGTTTGATCCCCACAGCTTGGATTTTTAAAAAACATTTTCGGGGAAACATGTCAATTGACATCACTGCTATAATACAGAAGCTCTTGACAGAAGATATGGGTCAAGTGCTTCTATATTACAGAACAGAAGTTTCCCTTGCAGTGGGAACCACACTTTTACTTATTTATGTAAAAACTTATATGGCCACCTATCTTCCACAAGATAATCCTAGGCAGCTCACAATAATATTAAATAAAGCGGAATAAATAAATCAACCAACCCAATAACCACACCACATATCCCAAACACAACGTCACATCGCATGACCTTACATTTGCTGGGCTCACTTCTAGCCTAGCCTAAAGCCCGGGTTTGAATATCAGGTTTCCAAAGCTCTCACCCAAGTTTTTGCAGACTTCCCAGTCAGCTACCTAGGTCTCAAGGGAATGAGCTGTTCTTTAAAGGACAGAGATTCATTCCACAGAAAGGTCATTCCAGGAGGCAAGTAGCTGTACTTGTCAGACCCTGTGCACAATGCAAGGATAGGCAAACCATAGTATTTCAATTGTGGCTGAACATTCAATGTGCCTCATCCCTGGCTATCTATTTTAGAGATGCCAAGAGCTGTAGTTTGGCACCATCTGGACTGCCACATTCGCCCTTGCATATACCCTGTATAGCATCCCTGCTAGCTTCCTACTTTTATAGGTTTTTAAAAAATTATTATTTGTATTTGTTATATTAAAATCTATACCTTGCTTCCTACTGTATACAATATTGACAACTCAGCACTGAAAGTGATGCGACTTACAATCCAAAACAGAGAGGGATTCACCACCCTGACATTGCTCTAAATTGGGGATTCCAGCAGGAAAGGCATGAAGAAATTTCATATGATATGGTGTGAGGATATAACATTTTTAGAAGCATTTAGGCACAAAGGCAGGTGAGTGACCTTGAGCAAGTTATTCTCTCCATCAGCACTGGGAAGGAGGCAGTGGCAAGCCACTTCTAAAAAATGTTGCCAAGAATCAATCAATCAATCAATCAATCAATCAATCAATCAAATTTATATAGCCGCCCGTCTCACAAAAAGTGACTGGGCAGCGTGCAACAATTAATTAAAATAATAAATATATAAAAGCAGTCATTATTAAAATGTAAAAAAACCACAAGGTACAAGAGGGAGTGAATGTTAACCATGGAGCCATCTCAGGGTTTCACTGGTCTCCTGGGACTCCCAGGCATGATGACATAGCCAGGTCTTGAGGGACTTCTGTAATATTAACAGAGATGGACCTAACCTCACTTCAGGGGTTAGAATGTTCCATAAGGCAGGCACCACAGCAGAGAAAGCCTGCTTCCTGGGACCCACCAAGTGTAGTTCCCTAGCAGATGGGACCCGCAGCATGCTTTCTCTACCAGATCTGATGAGACAGGCAGATATAACTGGGGAGAGGCAGATCCCTCAGATAACCCGGGTCCATGCCATGAAGGGCTTTAAAGGTCAAAACCAGTGCAGCTCGCGGAACAGAAGTATAATATGTTCTAGAAGCACACATAACTGCCTGCACCACTGCATTCTGCACCAACTGAAGCTTCAGGATACTCTTCAAGGGCAGCCCCATGTAGAGTTTATTACAATAGTTCAAATGGGAGGTGACTAGGACATGAATGACTGTGAGTAGAGCCCCCCGATCTAGGAATGGGTGTAACTGGCACACAACACATAGCTGAACAAAGGCCCTCCTAGCCATGACTGCCACCTGCTCTTCCAGCAGGAGTTGTGAGTCCAGGAGGACCCGCAGATTGTGCACCAGGTCTGTCTGGGTCAATTCAACCCCATCCAGCACCAAAGATGGCATAGTCCTAGAACTGGCAGGCCCGAAAACCCAAAGCTACTCAGTCTTGTCAAGGTTCACCTGAAGCCTGTTGTTCCCCATCCCCATCCTCACAGCCTCCAAACACTGGGATAAGATGTTCACAGCATTAGCATTGTTAATTTGCCAGGGGTAGAGATATATGATTGGATATCATTGGCATACTGATGATACCCCATGACGACAGAGGAGCTCACTCAGTGGCTTCATGCAGATGTTGAATAGAAGAGGAGAGAGCACTGAACCCTGCGGCACCCCACATAGTAGGGACTGGGGTGGGATCCCTCTTTCCCAATCACCACTGACTGGAATTGACCCCAGAGAAAGGAGGCAAACCAGCACAGCACCGTGCTGCCTACCCCCAGTCCTCTGAGCCAATCCAGAAGGATGCCATGGTTGACAATATCAAAAGCTACAGAGAGGTCAAGAAAGGCAAGGATGGAAGCACAACCCCCATCCTGCCCTCACCAGAGATCATCCAAAAGCATGACCAATGCCATTTCCACTCCATATTCAGGTCTGAATCCTGACTGAAAAGGATTCAGATATTCTGCTTATTCTAAGGTCCTCTGAAGCTGTTGCAAGGCCACCCTCTCAATCACCATCCCCCAGAAGGGGAGGTTAGACACTGGACGAAAAGTATAGTGGGGTCCAGCGATGGCTTCTTGAGGAGGGGGTGAACTAAGGCCTCTTTAAGAGGTGAAGGAACAACCCCCTCACTCAAGGAAGAATTAACCACCACTAGAACTAGCTAACATGACATGCCTCCCAGGCCACTTTCACAGCCCAGGAGGGGCATGGATCTAAAGAGCGGGTGGCTGACCTCACAGTCCTAAGGACCCTGTCCACTTCCTCAGGCCCAACAAGCTCAGACCATTCCTAGATAACCAGGCAAGATTCCTCCCCAGGTGTCTCCTCTGGACCCACAACAAGGCTGGCATCCAACTCCAAGCAAATTTGTCTGATTTTGTCCAACAGATACTGAACAAATTCCTCCACACACCCCTGCAAGAGGTTCTCTGAGCCCCTCCTATCCAAGAGGGCGTGTGTTATCCAAAACAGGGCTGTGGGATGGCTATCTGCAAGCACAATAAGGGCAGAGAAGTACTGGTGCTTCACCACTCTTAAGGTAGGCTTTAATAGTGGCTCTAACCCATGTTTGGTTGAGTTCATCCTTTGTTGAATGCCAGCAATGCTCTAGATGTTTCTTCTCTCATTTCATCTTCCTCAACTCCTCTGTAAACCAAGGGGAGCGATGGGATCCCCGAGAGGGGAGAGGTCTCATGGACATGATCTGCTCCAAAGCCTCAGCTGCCCTCTTATTCCATGGACTTGTTCATGTGGGTACCAGGAATCAAGACTGACTTGAAGGCATGCACACGCTAATAAATGAATGAATGAATGAATGAATGAATGAATGAATGAATGAATAAATAAATAAATAAATAAATAAATAAGGGGCATGATGCCCCCCCCAATAGAATTCCTCTGGACAATTCTAGTAGTTACAATTTGGAGTGTAACAAATATATACAAAAATCTTGTATTCCAGAATATCAGTGTTGTGTAGTGGTTAAGTAGCGTTGGAGAGACCAAGATTCAAGTCCATTTTCAATCATGCAAGCTCAGTGCCTGTCTTTGGGCTGATAAGTATCTCTTAGGTTTCTACCCTCAGGTTTTGTGTTGTAGGGAAAGATTAGAAGTATTTTGTATGAGAAAGAATATAAATCCAAGGAATTGACAAATAAATAAAAGCAGATAACCCAAATCACATACTGATGGCAATGAGAAAAGCAACATTGTTAAAGATTCTGACTGATCTAATATAAACATTGATAATGCTATGACATTATGACAATGCATATATCATAATGATATAAGCAGAGCACAGCAGTGAAGGAGTCCAAGGACAAGAACATGGAGTTGAAATTCATTTCACGCAGCAGCTTTCTTCCAACCATTGAAATGTCATTGGCTATCATTATTGTTTTAAATTCCTGCTTCTCAAATTACATATCAGATAGTTTGCATGGTAGAGGTTCACTGAGAAGGAAGAAATAATACATGTGTTCTAAATCACTCTTTTCCATTTCTTCATCACCCAAAGAAATTTCATAGAAATTGGCAAGGTGCAAGGTAAGTGAAATTTAGGAGTTTTGCATCAATTATATCAACTTCACAAATGTGCTCTTAATGTGGAAATTAAAAAAAAGAATAGGATGCAGTCCATTTAACATGTTTTCTGCTCTGCATAGGATAGAAGGGGCTCAAATGATCATATCAGTGTTACATATAAAAAATATCCGTAGTTATTTAGCTGGGCACTTTTCAAAGGAATTATCAAGCAAAGCTGCTAAAGTTGATGTAGGTTTTTTTACTTTTGTTTCTTTTTAAAGCCTAAGGATTACATGAAATGCTAAAGCTGTCATCAAATGCTTAGAGAAGAAGGTAATCTAGTGGAAGATTTCAAAGCTTTTAATGCTATTGCATTTAATAGTATTATCTACATTTTACCCTTTATGCACACACACAGACAGTAAATACTCACCATATTCACTGTCATAGAAAATAATAAATTTCTGCCAGGCATATTCTGTGACCACCCTCAAGATGACATCATTGATGTAGACAGGTGGGCGGACAAAAAGTGTATAATCATCATTCCTATTACTCCTTGTAGTGCCACAGCCACTCCGTGGAGTCCCAGCTGTTGACCTCTGGATGAAGAGATGAGGGATGTGCATAGCATCTGCCAGAGACTGGAGTGATCCTGCTGATGTACAACCAATGGAGCTGACTAGAGCCAAGATCCCATGGTTCATGAGTTCACAGGCTGCAAAAAAAAAAAGCAAATGAGAGTCAAGATGACAAGATGAATATAAGAGATACACCTTTTTCTTTAAAAAACAAAGATCCAGCTAACACAAAATAGTGAACGTTGACATGCAACAGATTCAGTCAAGTGAGAAAAGGCTCAAGAGTTTCCATAAATTTGATGCATCTTGTCTTCTCTGAAAACAAGCTTGTTTTAAAAAGTCAGTATGGTGCCATAAAAGCCTTGAGGCTTGTCCATTCATTTCAAACTGCCAAACATATTACTGTTAATGAGACCTATATGGTGCCTATCCTTTACAGCCTGGGAACAGGGGAGAGTCAAAGAAGGAGCTACATCCATAAATATTGCCTTTGGAGGACTCTGATGGACATTAGTAATAGAATCCAATATTAAATTAAACCGAGTTATGGGGAGATAAATGCAGCTCAAAGTCAACATGCCAGTTCTGGAAATAAGATATTTTGCATTATATGCGGAGAGATTTTGAAAGAATAATGGTTCAGAGTGGAATATAATATATGCATCTTCATCCAGAAAGAACAAAAAACCTAAATTACTTTGGTGCAATAAATAAAATCCTAAAACAACAACAACCAAGAAGCAGCATATTTCAACTAGACCTTACTTTTTCCATAGGGGGCAATTCAGAGACTTCAGGTATAATTCCATTTTAAAAAGGATTGGGTATGATAGCCAGTGAAATTGGCCCACAAGGAATGATTTTGACATCCTGAGAATTTGTATTGTGTTAAGTGGTACTGCAGATCTATATGTCACAATTCTGTGCTTCTCTCGTTGGTGGGGAAGGGGAGAACAGGGGAAAAGTTCTCCTAGGAGAGTCAAGGATGGCACAGTCAACATGAATAAGGCAGAAAGACAGAAAGAGATTAAGTTCAGTCAATGCTTGATTCTTAATCTATGTCATGAGATCTTTCTTAATGTATGAGAGTGGATTCAAATATTTTGGTGAAAGTGATGGACTACACAGCCCAGTGATGTCCCAAGAACTAATCTCTGGCATCTCCAGTTATTAAAATCTATGTGCGGAAGAACTTCTGCTCAGGACCCCTGCTAACTGCTGCCCATGAAAGCATGTAAGTGGACAGTATTCATCTACATCAACCTTCCAATTCTTTGCCTTCTAACCCAGAGTATGCCACCAAGCAAAAACTCTTACAAACAAATCTTGCCAATGATGAGGGGATTCTTTTTAGGAGATACCAAGCTTGTCAACCAGCTATGCCACCAATCTTCCCGGCATACCAGAAAACCCAGTGGTCAGAACAAACATCATAGCTAGCTACCCCATAAGGGCAAGTCAGTGGCTATACTTTTAGTTTATCCAGAAGATTTTCCAATACGTCCTGCTCAGCCTAGCACCCCAGTGAGGTGAGGGGTGAAGGGATCCTTCCAAGGAGGGATGAAGCTTGCCAACCAACTATGCCAATCCTTCTGACACCCCCAGAAAAACAAGGGGAAACTTCATTTTTAATACAGTTTTTGAAAGTGCATATTTTTAATTGAAGTAGCACACTTTCTGCTCTGATTCAGTCAACTTCTTTATGAGCTCTTTGCTGGGCAATTTGGAAGCTGCTGAACTGCTCATTAGTACTGTTGTGTTTGACCCTGCTATTTTGATCCTAAAAGAGCTACAGAGGGGTATTTGAAAAATATATTGTCGTAAGACCCTTTAAAGCATCCAGATAAAACTTGGCAGCTTTAACTATAGGGTCTAACTTCCCTATTATTTTCACTCCGCTCTGCCAGAAAAGTGGAACAGATTCACATATTTGGAAATTTCCCCATTAGAGCTTATGGTTGAATTTTCTTTTGAAACAATTCTTGAATTGGCTCAAATTGAATCTAATTGCCACTGAATCTCAGATAATGCCTTTTTTGACTCTCAGGTCCTCAACTGAAATAAAATCAGGAGTGATTTGTACAGGCTTGATGTTTGTACAAAGAATATGTTATACAGTTAAGTTCATATGTGTACAGCCATATGCAAGATGACTCTTCTTTACCTTGACAAGGCATTTTGTGTAATGGAAGAAGCAATACTTGCCTTCTCAAAGTGCAGTGACAATGTAGTTCATTCAGTTGAGGCACTTTGCTTAGCTTACTGGAACTCCTCTGGTATGTGTTTAGTAGGTATGCATGCTGAAAATGTGCATAGGAGCTTCAGGATGGCTACAGGATGTGCCAAAAGCAGCAGTCCAGAAACAATACAGGAGCTTCACTCTTAGAAACAGGAAGCCTCTTTGTTTTGCAAACCATCCTTGAGGAAATTATTTATTTGAAGCAAGGCATTCCTCTGAAGCTTTGCACAGTCCTGGGCTAATTAGCATAATCCATTGGAAGTTGGCATTTGGGGAATTTCCCAGTGATCTGGTGGGCAGTTTAGTTGAGTGCTTGGCTGGCAACTGGCAACAGGAGGTGAACTGGACATTTGATAAAATTGCTCCCGAGTAGTCTATTTCTGTTCACTGATCCTGGATAACCCCTTGGTCTACCAAGAAGCTCTGAAAGATGAAGCTGTCTTGAGAAAGACATGATATAAACTTCACTTAAAAGAATATGAACTCAAGTTCAAACCTACACTGTGGTGAAAGGGAAGAGAAGCATTATTACTTTTTCTTTATTGCAATTAGTGGGAAGTCAGAAGGCCTGGTAGAGAGCAGAAAGTTCTACTGAGCTATCGGAAGTTCAATTCACAGTATTAGTTCAATAGCTTCCAAAACATACTTGCACTGTAAACCACAGTAGAACAGAATCCACAGGACTTTAAAAATACATCAAAATATCAATATAAGAAAGACGGTGTTCTTCATGCAAAAAGTAACACCTTGCAACTAATGGTCCGATTAATGAAGGCTGAGCAGCAGTACAAACACTTGAAGTGCTATATTAATGACATCCACATTAATACTAGAAGTGTTTATCATGATTAATGTTAGTGCAGTTGATAAATATCAAAGGAATTAATAATGATTAAGCCCATAATTTTGACATATTACTCCTGTGAGAAATATGTAGATGGTAAAGTGTTTATGTTGCTTTCTAATGAAGTTGAAACCTGAAAGAGGAAGCAATGCAATTTTTTCAAAGTATTTGCACAGTATCCAAGATTTTTCATAGTAAATTTATGCTTAGCCATCAACATGGGTAGCTGACCTGTTCTTCAAGATTCAATGCAGGCAACTGCACATCTAATGAACTGCTACATTAAACTGCTGCTTCTGTGTGTATATGTGCTATCAACTTTGACCAGATGCATATATTTTGCTAGTCATGGGCATTTACTCATTTCTCAGAAAATTTAGTGTGTGTTGAAAGTTCATAAATTCAGCAACAGTTGAAGAAAATTAAATAAAGACTTATTTTGAGTCAGGACTTAGACTTGCAACACCATTTCAAAGCCAGGAAAAACTAAGAATAACTGGATATTAAAGGATGTACTCTGAATATTGGCTGTTCCTTTACTACTGACAGAGTCATTGAACTAAATTATATTGAGTCAGTTGGGGTACCATATTTGAACTTTCTATAAAAAGGGGACATTTGGGAGATAAAGCATCTAGTAACTCATGTTGCAGTAACATGTCCTCAGTGTTAACCTCCCATAGTTACTTCACTGCATTGTTGCAGTGATATTGCCTTATTCACACTAAAACCAAAACTTGGACATACATTGTCAGGATCAAAAACAGAAACATTTTGTCTGATGTGCTGCACTTAGGACAAATTTATTTCTTTATGGTTCATACAGTAACTTAGTTAGGCATGCTACCTGAATGCAACCAAATAGCCTCAAACATTTTGCAACAGATTTGGTTGTAAGAGGTTTGGTTGTACAGTAATGTAAAACACTATTCCGTTTGTCTAAAATATAAGGAGAATTACCATACTGTGCCCACAGAAGCCAGTCCAGTCCAGTTCATCAATGGTTTTGACAGAGATCATCAATAGTTCTGTCAGAAAGGGAGAAGCTGACATACATTTACTCAGGCTTTGCCAGAGATAGTAACTTTAATTTAAGATTAGAATCAGAATGTGAAATTGCAAGTAGGCTGCTAGGAAAACCTCCATACCTTCATTTTCCATATGGTATTGGATCCTATGCACTAAGAAGAGGTCACTTTAATAATACTGCATGGTGCCTTGCATTTATTTACAGAGAAAGGGAAGGGAGATAAGATTTAAGTTTACTATTTTCTAAAATTGTAAACTTTGTAAATGGAAAAATTGGACGGAAGTAGAGATATTGACTTTGGACCAACTGACAGATGATGAAGATGAATTTTTAACCTACGCTGTGTTAAGAGATAAATATCATCTATCAGATGTAACCCAATGGCAATATTTACAGCTACAACATTTGTTAACAACATTGTTCGGACCAGCAGCATTTTCAGCCTCAGAGACACCTGCGATATTAGAACAACTTGTTAAATCCTTTAAAACTAAAAAACGTACTATTAGTTTTTATAGATATTTGTTATTAATAAATCATTTTGAGATGCAGATGTTAAGAGATGAATGGAATAAAGAATTAGGGGTTCCTATATTGCCTAGACAATAGGAAAGTGTGGCTGGTGTGGGTCTTCCGGGCTGCGTGGCCGGGTTCTTGAAGTTTTGTTTCCTAACGTTTTGCCAGCACCTGTGAC